ATGTTAGCACTCCCCCTTGTGAGTTTGGAGAAGGTGGTCAGTTGGTTACTATAGTACCATAACCCTAATGTATCCTGCTGTAAACTTTTACCTTTCTAAAATGTTAAGATGTTTCTTAAGATGTTTCTCCTACATGACAACGAATCGAATCTGAAACTTAGTGCTGGCTAGTGTTAAATATATATTATGATATAATGTACAGAATAATGCAGTTGAATGATGTCAGGTTGTGAAATCTACAGTACAACAGGTGCATTTTTCTGTTCCACTCATTAATAAAAATGCCATCTAAAACAACATGATACAAGCTAAGATGACCATGTGCATTAGATTGTGATGTACATTAGAGAAACAATAATTAGTCAGTTTCATTTAATGAATTTGCATCTATTTTAATAATCAGTTAATTATTTTGAGTGGTCCGTATTCTCTGATTTCAGCTACTCAAATGGGAGTATTTTCTGCTTTCTTTAGTCGTCTATGGCAGTAAACTGAATATCTTTGGGTTGTGGACAAAACAAGACATTAGAGGACGTCACCTTGGGCTCTGGGAAACTGACTGACATTTTCTGGACCAAACAACTAATGGATTAATCAAAAAGACGATCAAAAGATGAATCGATAATGAAAATAATCATTAGTTGCATCCCTAATTTTAATTTTGCACATTGAAATAAATAATATGGAGGAAAACAAATGAAGAAAGTTACATTTCACATCATTTTTTGCAGTTCCTATGACTGTCTCCGTGACGACCCCTTTGACCACAACTGGCCATCGCTGCCTCAGCTTCCTGGTTTGCACTACTCCATGAATGAACAGTGTCGCTTTGACTTCGGTGTGGGCTACACCATGTGCACCGCGGTAAGAGATCCCCATATTCTGAAAGTAATTTTACTAACATGGCTAGAGTTAATTAACTAACTAACTAACTGCACTAACATACTGAAGGCAATTTTTGTAATTGTTGCCACCGATCAAGCTTAGCATCACTTAACTTTCTGAGATGATGCAGTTTTTCAGAGTTGGGGTAAAGTCGCTTTGAATTCAGTCTGTTCAGGTGATTCAGAATTAGCTGAATTTCACAGTGGAAGATGCATTTTTATGAAGGTTTTCCTAGTGAAGTGAACCAAGCACTGACCTATCTATCTCTGATCTACACTGTAATAAGAGTCACACATACACACTATTCACATTCTTCTGATGTCCTCTGCTTTCCTCTCCCGGCCACTGGTGGGATTGGCATCTTGCTTAAAAGCAGGTAATTGGTTTTTATAGCTTATTCTTTTTTTTCTGTTATTAATGTTAATTATGAAAAAGAATATTTTTTTAACATAACTCGTTCCATGATACCACAGTGCCTTTACATGAATCTGTCACAAATAATATTTACGTAAACACGAAACATTACACAGTAGACAAGATTCACGCAGCTTCAGCATCTTGCCAGTCATCTTACCTTTCCCCCTGTCACCCTCACCCTCTCTATTACTGTGAAGCCACTGTGGCACGCTGTTGCTTGATTGACAAAGGGCTTGTTCGGGGGCTTTGCACACATTGCTAGATTACCCTCTATTCTCTTGTCAAACCCATTCCCCTCAGCTACAAAAGGCGGGCCAGTCAGGAACGCAGGTAAGGTAACCCCACCTTCCGGAAGACATGTGGCCCGTCATTTGTTTTCTCAAATTTTCTTTTTCTATTTGTCCTCTGAAGTTGTAATTGTTTGTAATGTTGCTCCTTACTTTTCTTTTTTACTGTACTTTGTTTCTCTGTTCTACCCATCGTCATATTTTGGACGTTAGTCTGCAGGATTCTAAAATGCTAATTTCTAGAAAGTGGCAGTAAAAATCCCTGAAAACACTGTGACTCTACTGGTTCAGTGGCTATGGTGCAGTTCAACAGCTGAACTGTATCATACCCCAACTCTTTTCCTGCAAATCTGTGTTAAATCACAGCAGCGCTGGCAGGAAGAGCCTCATCATATTGGCACACTCACAACTATAAACGAGTGGAAAAGGTTGGAAAGATGTCTTTCCCATCCAAGGGGAAATGGCTGAGCCAGAACAGAGGCTGTTTTTCCATGTTTCACTTCAGCTTTTAGGATCCTCCAGTCTGATGTCATTGGTGATTACCTACCACAGTCTAGCCATTGATTGTGACTCGCCCTCTGACCTGTAAAGGTCCCCTGGGGTCATGGTGGGTAGGGAAGTCTGTGGAAAGGAGGGAGGAGGGCACAGCCCCTCAGACACTGGACTGCAGGTCGGTTTGGTGGTATCCTCATCAATGGTTCATATCAGAGAATTTGGTCCTTGATCTGTGTCTAGGGACATTTTAGAGGTCAATGAGACCTCACCTTTTGGCCTTTTAACCTATTGCCCTCTGCTCTCTGACCTCCCTTGTGACCTAATTAAACCACGGGCTGTCTCATTCTGAGAGTCTTGTCTCTCTTTCTCTCATCCTTTGGTTTAGTTTGCATGAATGGCTGTGTGTTTCTCAGTGGAGCGAAGTCTAGAGTGCAGTGACACAATACAGGGTCGGTGTTGTTATCGTTGCGTATAATACTGTGGTGGTTATTGTTGTAGTGATATTTCTCTTCTCATCTCTATTTTTATTTCCTGTTTTCAGTGTTTAGTCTCACTCCAGCTGTCTCATGATGGTTGACTTGTTTTATTGAAGGTCAGTCTGTTACTCAGTGTGTGCGCTGTATGGTAGGGCTTTTAATTGTAAGAAGGAGTCTCTCTCTGTGCCCTGCAGTATCGCACATTTGATCCATGTAAGCAGTTGTGGTGTAGCCACCCAGACAATCCCTTCTTCTGCAAGACCAAGAAAGGACCACCTATTGATGGGACCATGTGTGGGAATGGGAAGGTATTTATACACTATTGTACTTTAACATATATTCTGTTGAAGAAACATAATTTGAAAGTGCACTGTATCCAAATAGCAACCGTGTGTTGTGTTCTTGGCCTCTTGCAGCATTGCTTTAAAGGTCACTGCATCTGGCTGACCCCTGACATCATAAAGCAAGATGGAAACTGGGGTACGTGGAGCGAGTTTGGCCAGTGCTCCCGCACCTGTGGTGGAGGAGTACAGTTTCGCACACGCGACTGTGACAATCCTAGGTATGAAACTGTGTTTCCCTGTGTGTATGTGTGTGTAAAAAAAAAAAAATTGAAATAGCAAGTTTTCAGCCTGTTAATTATCCTAAATTCAGCTAAGGCTCTCTGCAGTTAATCTCTGATATTGATAGTGACAATACCAGAGAGGCAATTTACCCCATTAAGTTATGAGTGTTAAATGTATCATTTCTAGTCCAAGGCTAATGAATTTTAAAAGTGAAACACAACACACATTTTGAATGATGTATGTGTCCTTTGCCCTGTAACCCTCTCAGACCAGCCAACGGAGGACGTACCTGCGTGGGGGCAACTTATCAGTTCCAGATGTGCAACACCAACGAGTGTGAGGATATCTACAGTGACACACGAGAGGAGCAATGCCACGCTTGGGACCCTCGCTTTGAACTCCACAGCAACAAGCACCACTGGCTGCCTTATGAACACCCAGACCGTGAGTGTACACCCGCAAATAGAAAAAAGATGAAGTAGTTTGTTGGAGAGATAGAGACAAAAAGAGGCTGTCAGAACAAAAATACCAGACTGAGAATGATAAACTCCTGAGTGATGATACACTGTGGAAGTTGTAAATACAAATGAAAGCCAAAACAAGGAAGCAAACACTAAATTCTTGAATGCGGTTTGGTCTTAGAGGGTTTTATATATAGGTTTTGTTCTGTTACGGTCATTGACATCTGGCTGTCCTGCTGAGTCTGAGTACAGCTTTGAGCTATGACTACGCCCTCCCATAAAAACACACCATCTCTTTGAAAACCTCTTTAAAAACAATCTTCTTTGAACTCTTTTTCCACCCAATCGCTGATGTCAGTTGAACCTCACTGACTCCCTCCTCCATCTTCCTCTCCATCCATGTATTAGTTGGCACTATACAGACAAACTATCAGATTTACAATGGGATCCCATCCTGGAATTCTTCACTTAATCTAAAATACATCTTCAAAATCTCTTTAAAATGTATGTGTGTGTGTGGTTGTCAGGCTCACCCTGTCTCTTAAGTGGAGGTGTCACTGCCGCCCTGATAGGTATTAAATTATCATTCAACTAAAGGGCAGCCCTCGAGAAAAGTGCTGAGCTGTCTCTAAATCTACTCTGAGGTCACGCTACGCGCACTGTGCTAAGGGGGGCCTTGCTAAATTGTTTTTCTCCGTTCTTATCATTTCTAAATGCCATAGTTTTCAGCAAGGTTTTCTCAGTCTCAAATTACTTTTCCATCAGTGTGTGTTAGTTAGTGTGCAAGCACATATTTGCGTGTGTGTGTGTGTGAAAGAG